TCACTTCTTTCCACTGGAATAAACAAACGATGAATGTATTGCCGCCATTTTGAATTTGGCAATGTCACGTGGTCGCGCGTCGACCAATCAGACAATTTTCGCCGGTGAAGAGGTGACACCAGGACGATGGCGTGAGCATGCGCAACATGTCTCCTCTTTGAAAATTTACTTCCGGTCGCGTCTTACAGCCGTCGCGTCTCGAATCTTAAAGTCCCTATTACCAGAGTGGAAAAACGCGGGGCCCTCTGCTAATGCTAGTAACGAGATACCCTTGTTAATGTTGGGGTAAAAACCCCGCGGCTCCAACATTAACATTGGAAGGGAAAAAATGGGAAAATGAGAACCTAAAAAAAATAATAATGAAACTCCTTCAAAGACGGTCTCGGGGCGTTGGGTAGAGCTATGGTCGCTACGGCGGCGGAAGTGCCGGTTCGCCCTTAAGCTCGAGAGGGAGAAAAATGAAATGAAATAAAATGAGAAACTGTAGAGACCCTTAAGATGGCCAGCCTAGGGGTTCAGAGTGGTGGAGGGAAAAACAACCAAAAATAACTAAAAAAAACTTTCTCAGGAGGGACTGGGGAATGGGGAATGGGGAGTAGGTAGTGATGGGAAAATGGGGGGTCCTCCTGAGAAGGTCTGGTGGCCACCAGTTTTACTAATTTTCTATTTGATAATGACCGTAAGCAAAACTGTGTATTCCATCCTCATGGATATATCTTTTATCATCAAAGCAGCTCAAACTAATTTTGTTTAATTGGTAGCTACCAATTTGATGATGGTTTCTCCTGATTGTGCGCATACTGTGTAACATTTGTTTCCCATTCAATAAGCATTCTTTATAATTCTCATGAGTAACATTCTTTTTGATAACATATTTTCTAATACCCTCAGCTGTTTTCTCATTTTTACCATTGTCTTTCTCAAAAGAATATATTTTACTCCTGAGACCAATAAATTCCTTGATGGGCATACCAGCTGCCTCATCTTTAAACTTTTCAATTACTTTCTTATTTGTTGAATCAAAAAATTCAATATCTTTTGGATAATGACTTTGTCAAATAATTGTTTGTCCTCCCATAGTTCGTTATAAATATCCTTCGTCTCAATCTCGTAACAAAGACCGTCTGTATCAGTAAACAATAATTTTGCTTTGTTATTGTACCTTCGTTTAACATAATTATACTGAAAGTCATACAGGAGGGTCTTTAACAGATCTAAAATACACATGCCCACATAGGCTGGTCTGTCCAGTGTTAGTGTTTGTTTGATCTTGTGAACTGCCACAAGGTCCTCATTGAAGATCTTACTGTTAACATAGGGCGGCTTGCCCACAAGTTTGGATAACTTCTTCTGATCAGTCACCAATCTAACATCAACACGCTTTCTTATATTCTCTATTGTTTTTCCAAATACGCTGTTATTTAAATAGTTTGAAAAAGTCTTTCTCCTCAAACACAACAGCTAACAGGAGAATATCAGACTTCAGATACAGATCATGATACTCGCCCATTGTCTTCATAGTAAAAGTATTCCATACATTTTGACCATATGGGAATTGCACATCACTGATACCCTCATCTGTCAATATACTATAGAATTCCTCTTTTGGGGGTAGTTGTTTATCATTAAACTTCTGAAAACTGTCCATATAGTCGTAAGAGTATACTCCTTTCTGTTTCATCAGTGCTAGTTTCTCATCTTGAAAAACCTGACTGTTATACTTGAACGCATCGGTGGGTAAATTGGCGGCCAATCTCTCCAAACTTGCCCAAGCTTGCCATGAACTGGAAACTATCCAGAAATACTAAATGTTTACCCAGCGTGAAGGCCATATCTTTCTCCATATTATTAGGGATGCAGTTTATACTCAAATTATTGCTTTTTCCAATTGATCCAATTTCCTGTATTATAAAATGGGAATCATACCCGCGGAGATTATGAAAAATGACAGGGATCTTGATCTCTTTGGGGTTAATCCACAGCTTCAAATTACAGTCCCGATGTGCCGATCCCCTGTACTGTCCAGTAATATGGCAATGATCCCTGACTCTAATATCTATTTCCTTATACTGATGTCCACAAATATGACATTCCTCAGCAGCTTTAAACTGCCGCTCATCCTCATCAGTCATCTGTAGAGGTTTATTATATTTGGTACTAATGATCTCCTGGCAATAATGTACTTCTATAAGAATCTGCTGCATAAACTTATTAATAGAATCCTCCCCTCTGCGAATTTTCACCGGTTTTGAATATGCATCATCATAGCAGCACAGCTTTTGATACTTATTGGTAAAAGATTTAGCATCGTCCGGTTGGAAACCAGATACTTTCTCTGTAATTGCCTCGAAATCTGCATAAATTACAAAAGGTACTGGCATCTGCTTATGATGATTTTTGAATTGGACCATACTACCTTCCTTGGGCATTCTTATTGCTTGTTCCCCATTTATTATCATACAATTGTTCTTATGTTTTGCCAGTATCTCTTCGGTGCTCAAACACTGGAGACAGTGCATGCAAAAATGCTTTCGCTCCTTGTGTTAAGTCTTGTTAAACATCATTCTGTTAAAATCCTTGATTAAAACATAGTGCCGCTTTGTGCCCTTCGATATTAGCAGCAGGTTCAATACTTTCTCGTTTTTCTGCTTTGAAACATAAATTGGATAAAATTGCTCTTTCTCACACCCAACCACTTTAACATTAATATTGTTTTGGGCCTCAATTTTACCATAATGTTTGGTAGCAACTGGGAACTCTACACCTTGGTAATTCAATTCTTGCAACATTTTTCTGTCCGTCTTTTTAATCCGCTGGGCATCCTTTTCTTGTGGATTCAAATATCGTATATGACACCAACGGAAGCATTCATCATCCTTATTTTGTAGACTAATTAACCCTTAGCAGAGTTCTGTAACTTTACCGGTAGAGATATATAGGAATTACCTTGCATTGGCTCATATCTGACTATTTTTATAGAGGAGCTCCACGCGCGGCGCGAAGGGCCTCGCGTGGGCGGAGCCCCATAGCTAAGGTAATCCATCCATCCCAGAAAATTTGGTAATCACGTGACCGTACGCCGAACGACCGTCCGTCAGCACCACAGGGACCGTCCGTCATGTTTACTCTCACATTTTCTGGCTAAAATTGTAGTTTGGGAGCCCAGGAGAAAACTAATTGCTCATCAATGTTGTGATCAATTGACAGCTGTCAAAACAGGGCATCCGCTGACCAGTATCACATGACCGTACCACGGGCTCAAGTGTCGATCCATCAAGGTCGAGTATTTTTGTGAAGTTATCCGCTGACAAATTACCAGTTTCAAATGATCGCAGGCTCAAGTTTATTTTTTCCAATAATTAATATGAAATATGTTGTGTTTATGTCATTTTGGTCCCACACTATTAAGATTTTGATTTCAAACTGACCTCGGACGCGAAAATTAAGCCAGTTTTTTAAAAATACAGGCGGGGAAGACCTTTTCTTATCATGGTCACGCGTTGGGCACGCTCTACGTCCAATTTTTATGCTCTGATTGGTCAAAATTTGACAGGTGAGTTCATGCGGAAAATTTATGCAGCATCTTGAAAGTTGTTTACTTTGACGGCTGAAGCTGACAGAGTTTTTGTGTCCACTTGTGATGTTTTTAACTGGGTTTTTCGACTGGATGTACAAAATAAAACACAGCCGCTATCAAGAGTCTTCTGTTATTCATGGATGGTTTTTTTATTCGGAAATGCGTCGCTTGTCAAAATTCGATAATCCGATTTCGGTGGCATCGTTTTCGTTTTTCACCATGCTTAATGCGTAAGAGGGTTTAAAAGTCTCAAGCAACCGTGGCCTTCCTTGATAGCTTTCAGGAACTGAATCTCGAATGGTAAGCGTGAGTAATTATTGTATTTGATGTTTGTTTTCTTTATATCTAATTTTATGAAGTCGAAGTCGCATGTTTGTAAGATTTGAGTCAATGATCTAACCTAGTGTCAGGTTTGATATAAGCTTACAGAACTTTAAAAGGCCTTCAGATATATTTTCTCACCGCGAATAGAAAGAAAACGTTCCGAAGAATATTTAATTATAAATTTGGCTGTAGAAAGAAACCTTTGAGCGATTTTCTTGCTTGGAGGAGTTCATCTTTGAAAAAAGCAAACACCGGGAGGCCGGCTTAAAGTAAAACATAATTAACCTAAGCTTAAATAGTCAGGATTTTTAGAGGCACTTTAATACCTGTCTTTGTGAGTGAAAATTGTTGTCTCTGTAAATGTTTCAGCGATTTATATTTCTTTTATTGATTGTTAGTAGTCTCTCTTGCAAATTTTAATCGCTTGTTCGTGCCGTTTGTTTTCATCGTTCATGAACATCGCTTGCAGGAGTACTCAAAAATGTCGCGCATATCAAACGCTTTATAAGATTACACATCGTTATAACTGAAACCATTAAATAACAAACTTAACTTTGTAACTTTGGAACTTTGTAACTTTATTTGATTTACCACAAAATACAAATAACGATAAAACAAGACAGTTACACAAAAGCAAATGAAAGTGGCGAGGAAGCCCAAAAAGAAACCATGAGGCTTATAGACATTGGGCTCCCTCAGAGTAAAAATAAAGTTAACAGTAACGGTAAGGCCAGGATCGAAAGCAAAATACAATGAAGGTAGGTATAAATTAACTAGTTATATAGACTGAGTTGACAAAATATAAGGTATGGTACAAGTAACAATAAGTATAAAAATAATATCAGACATGTGAAGAAATATAACTATTTACTACAAGATTTATAACTAATAATTCATATATA